GCATAAAGATTGATATCGTAGGCATTACTGAGTTGAAATGAACTGGTATAGGCCATTTTGAATAGGACAATCATATGGTCTACTATGCTGGGAATGACAAATTGAAGAGGAATGGTGCTGCATTCATCGTCAGAAAGAACATTTCAAGATCTTTCCTGAAGTACAGTGCTGTCAGTGATAGGATAATATCCATATGCCTATAAGGAAGATATGTTAATACGACTTTTATTCAAACAAACGCATCAGCCACTAATGCCAAAGATGAGGAAATTGAAGATTTTTACCAACTTCTGCAGTCTGAAATTGATCAAACATGCAGTCAAGATGCATTGATAATCACTGGTGATTGGAATGCAAAAGTTGGAAACAAGGATTGGTAGTTGGAATATATGGTTTTGGTGATAGAAATGACACTGGAGAGCACATGATAGAATTCTGCAAGACCAACGACTTCTTCATTGCAAATACCTTTTTTCAGTAGCATAAATGACAGCTATACATTTGGACCTTGCCAGATGGAATACACAGGAATCAAATCGACTACATCTATTGAAAGAGACAATGGAGAGGCTCAATATCATCAGTCAGACCAAGGCCAGGGGCCAACAGCGAAACAGACCATCAATTGCTCACATGCAAGTTCAAGTTGAAGCTCAAGAAAATTACAGCAAATCCACCAGAGCCAAAATACAACCTTGAGTATATCCCACCTGAATTTGGAGACCATCTCAAGAATAGATTTGATGCACTGACCACTAATGACTGAAGACCAGATGAGTTGTGGGATGACATCAAGGACATCACACATGAAGAAAGAAAAAGGTCATTAAAAATACAAGAAAGAAAGAAAAGACCAAAATGATGTCAGAAGAGACTCTGAAACTTGTTCTTGAAGGTAGAGTAGTTAAAGTGAAGAAATGATGAAGTAAAAGAATTGAACAGATGATTTCAAAAGGTGGCTCGAGAAGACAAAGTAAAGTATTATAATGAAATGTGCCAGGACTGGAGTTAGAAAACCAAAAGGGCTGGGCATTTCTCAAGCTGAAAGAACTGAAGAAAAGCTTCAAGCCTTGAGTTGCGATATTGAAGGATTCTACAAGGAAAATATTGAATGACCCAGGAAACATCAAAAGAAGATGGAAGGAATACACAGAGTCACTATACCGAAAAGAACTGGTTGACGTTCAGCCATTTTAAGAGGTAGTATATGATCAAGAACCAACAGTACTGAAGGAAGAAGTCCAAGCTACTTTGAAGGGAATAGCAAAAAGGAAAAAAAAAAAAAAAAAAA